AAGATATCTCAGTACTCACCAGGCTGATTTTGATGCTCTAACCACCATTAGATATGTCTTGACAAGCTTTACAAAAGCCTCTTAAGCAAGAAAAATGATTAACTTAGTATAAAAAAAAGTTTTAGATGCGTATACGCCACATTCACACTATAGTAAATTTATATAGTAATCTGAGTCACATTTTACTATGATCATGCTTCAGTTGACTGGAGAATCATCAATTAAATAAAATTTTTAATAATCATTCATATAACAGTCAAATCCCAAAAAACTATAATTACTAGTATCTTGAGTACAACGACAGTAATAGTTATAATATTGGTTCTAACTATTATTCTGAATATGCTATTAAATCAAACCTTGAATATGCTATTAAATCAAGTTTTAAATATACTGTTAAACCAGATTTGATATTTGTTACAAAGCATTAATATTGCAAAGTAAAAACCTAAAAATAAAATTTTTATTATAGTGAATTTAGCTTCTAAATTTTACTTTTAGGTTTTTATTCTGCAGTTATTTTAATAATTACATACATGAAAAAATTATTAACTATAATATATTTTAAATTTAGTTGAGGTATCCAATGAATCCGATAACTTAGGTATATATTAAATTATTTAATCATTAAAATAATTTGAATATAATAAATTATATTAATTTAAAATTTTTAAACTTTAAGATAATTTTTTTATAAACTATCCAAAGACTACAAAACGAAAAAAAACTTCCAAGTTAAATTTGAAACAAAACTCCAATAATTATAAAAAACTAAATTATCAACCAAAATATAATGATTATAATAGTTTGAATTTAGTTGAAATATTAAATAATGATAACACCAATATAGTTTATGATGATTTTATTAATGACTATAATGATTTTATTAATGATTATAATAATTTTATTAATAATGATTATAACGATTTTATTAATAATCATATTAATGATTATATTAATAATCATAACAATTTAACTACTATAAAATTACAATACAATTCATCTACAAGTAAAAAAAGTAATATTTTATAAATATACTGTATATTTTATTTTAAATATTTTTTAATTTATTAATTTATAAATTAATTTATAGATAATTCATTAAAAGCTTACTGGATAAATAATGAAATTGAGACTCTTATATGTTCTATAAAACAACATTATAATAAATTAAAAAATGCATTAAATAATAATATTAGAGCAAAGATATGGGATGATATTTTTGATAACTTTAATTAATTTTTTCCAAATAACAAAAATTGTAATATTAATGTGGTTAAAAATAAATGAAAAGACTTGATAACTTGATACAAAATTATTGTAAATAATAATAAAAAAACCAATATAAAAAGAATTGAGTGTGATTTTATAAAGGATTTGGGTGAAATTTTAGACAAAAATCCTAGTGTAAAACCATTAGTAATATCAAAAAAAAATATTAGTATTCAAAAAACTAGTAAAAAAAGTAAAAAATGAAAAAATAATAAAGATGATATTTTAGAATATCTTAAAGAAGAGAGGAAAACTGATAAATTTAAAAAAATTTTTTTAGAAATGGTTAATAACTTTTTAAACAAAATTTAATAAAATTATACATGAATATAAAGGTTAAAAGTTTAAATATATTTACTATGATATATATTAAGTTATTCATAGTGCTTCAGATTGCTCAGATTAAGTCTAATTTTCTAGCTTTTTCTTTTATATTGCACTAATATATAATTCTAAGTTGACTATGTAACTATTAAATACTTTGAATTGGCTCTGGATTTAAACTAAAAATTTCTATTTGTATATAATAGAATTTTTGCAGTTAATATTTACAATAAAAATTGATGATTCCAATATAAATTTACTCACATATTATGGATAGTAATTGAGTTCTGTAATAAAGTTTTTTAGTAGCTCATAATAGAAATCACATTAATTCTAAATATTTAAGACATATAGCATAAATAATATGTGAAAGTTAATTTTTAAAAATTATATAAGTGATAAAAAAGACAGAGAATATCTTAGAAAGTAACTTTGCACTAAGAGATATCTAAAGTTAGGTAGTAATTTATATAAGGCATGAGATTTTTAATTAGCAAATTTAATTTTAAAAAACTACTTGGCTTTAGATGACTACTATATGAATTCACATGTTTTGATTGATCAATAATTGCATATTATCACAGTAATGTTGTAATAATTATTGAACTAATAATAGCTCATAATCATCTTACGTTTATTTAGTAAAATTTTCTACATTCAGATTATATTTTTCAGATATAGCTAATAAAAAACATTAAAGCACACAAATCTAGAATTGAGTTAAAAAGAAGATTATAGTCATAAGAGTAGTATGAAATAGTGATCTGATTTGTTCAATAAATAACTAGATTAACTGTTGAACCATCTAGTTTACAAATCAGCAAAAAAGTAAACTGAATATATTTCAGCTAACTGCTATACTGTTTTGATAATGCTATCAAGTTCAAATTATAGTCAAATGCACTATGAACTAAATAATACATATTCTAAATTTTGTGTTTTAATGAATATATATAGTAAATTACTTAAGTACAAGCCTCTAACTACTTTGTTATATACTTAGGACTTTCAAATTTATAATAATAAACTTGACCTCTGAAAATCTAATTATTGATAAAATAAAATATAATTAAATTATCCAAGGATCATGCTCTGTATTGGAAAGTTGTTACTGTCGGGCGTCTGTGTACTGCCGAGCGGATATAAGATGTCTCGGTAGTGTTGGTAATACCAAGAAACAAGAAGATTCTGGAACCTGCTTAGCAAGTCCCGAGTTGGGGAGTAGCAGTGATCTTCGACGGTATCACATGAAAGGCTGAATTCGAACCGGAACCTGAGATTGGAGAACTGTAGAACC